TAGGGTTGCCTTTTGTTAACAAATTTCCTAAAATGCTTCCAGTATTCCTACATAACCCATCCTAGGGAGAACAGCGTTTACAGCTAAGCATCTTCATGACAATGGCCGTGGAATTAATAGGGTTAACCCTAAGATACCCATGTCAACATGGTTAATCAGAAATGCTATAATAGATATCTCTAGAATATAAAACATACTACAAGGCATTACTTAGCCAAAATGTTTCCTACTTTGTTTTGCTGTACAGTATATCAGAGAAATATAGTTGAGCATAATATTTTAGAATAAAATATATACCAAAGTCAGTCACAAGTGCCAAAGAAAAATTTTCATCTTAGAATGTTATTCTAGTATTGGCTCAAGATAAAATGATTACCGAAGACCCCAAATCCCAAATATTTCATCAGCACATTTGCAATAGTTTATAATAATATTACTGCAAATGTACATAACTTCATATAAGTTATAGGCATCCTTTCAGAATATGATCTATTTTTAAGCTTCTGAGCACTTGAAAGGTAATTGTATATACAAATTTTTCTAAGCAATCACACTGTTCACTTGGAAACAAAAAGTACTAAAACAAACAACAAAAAAAAAACCACCTCTACATTTAAGCACAAACACAGGAAGCAAAAAAAACACTTAATTGAACCTTAATTAAAAGTGCATTCTAGTTCAAATATGCTTTGATTTCTAAAATAAGATGATTAATAACAGCATTTATATGCATTTCACTCTGAACTTACTTTGCCATATCTCTAGCCAATTGCATAAATCGTTCTCCATCAGATGGAGACAAAAGGTTTAAAATACGTCTATAACCATCCATTGCCATTTTATGATCTCCCATCTGTTCGTAAAGACTTGATCGCTCCCACAGATAACGAACATTAGTAGGTTCATATTTAAGAGCTAAAAAGAAAAAAAGATTTATCACAAAAAGGGGTTCATGGTACCTGGGTGTGACCCATGTTCTCTTCAGAAAATTTAATAAACACTCTAAACCAGCGGTTCTCAACCTTCCTAATGCCGCAACCCCTTAATATAGTTCCTCATGTTGTGGTGACCCCCAACCATAAAATTATTTT